CTGGGAGTTGAAGTCCATGCATCTTAAAGTTGCTGAGGTTGAGAAATAGTGGTTTATGGCTCGGATGAACCCAGCAAAGTGCAGTTTCTTCCACAATCACAGCCAAACAAATCCTATTTCTGTGCAACGTGCGAACCTCCATCTCACAGGGGTTGGCAAACAAAGCGTCTCTCAAGCCACGATTTGATCTCAGTTTATAACCAGAGTTACAAACAATTTGGGCAACCGTTACCCAGAAAGCTTTGAGGGCGTCCAGCGAAGTCAGACCATTTCCGCATCAAAGCCTCCCGAATTAATTCGGAGCTGTTCAGCACCACCACGACTGAGCAGGGACATCCGAGGGAAAGATAGAAAAAGGAGAAGAAAGACAGATTAAAAAACGTCTCTTTCTCAAAGCCAGTCCCCAAAGCCCCCAAACATTCCTTGTTTGTTTGTTTGGAAAATTTATATTCCTCAGCTCAGTCTTAGGAGAGACTTTTTTCATTAGTATTTTTAAAGAGAGAACTGAAAGCCTTTAGAAAGAAGGATCTGGGCTTGGGCTATGGAGATTTAATTTCCACGTGCCTTGGCTAAATGTGAAAGTGTGACTTGCGTGTGTTTTTAAACTACCAATGCCTAATTTTGCTTTTTTAAGTCAGGCTCACGACCAGCCGAAGACACTGGGTTGTCTTGATGAAACGAAGCCGCCGATGTGAGCGAGACCCCAGTTGCCCCTCAACATCCATGGATGGAGAGTACTGTGGAGGACACCCAAGGAAAGCAAGCTACTTTAGGGTCTGGGTGCCCAACCCACCATTCGTGGGCACCAGTGCTCCCATATGGGTCTCTTGTGGCACTCACCATGCCCTGTGCCCCACCTGATTGGTTGGTTTTTGCAAAAATCAGTTTACTTTTTTAAAAAATGGGAAGTTAACATATTGCAAAGCCAAGGTGTCTATCTTCCCTCCCTCCCTCCCTCCCTTCTTTCTTTCTAAATCATGGCCCCCACGGTGCCAGCCATTTGGTGAGAGCACCTCCATATGCTCTCAAGAGTACAAGGGTGGTGACAAGGCCCAAGGACTTGAAGACCCCCTAAGCTCCAGGGCTTCGGGCTGCCTCCTGCTCCTGATCTGCTCTCTGGGGAGGCTGCCTCGTACTGTCCAAGATTAGGGCCAGCCCTGTAAAGCTGCCATATTCACTGAGTGAAGTGAGGGCAGCAAACGTGTGGCCCTTCGGGAACTTTAAGGTATGTGGACTTCATTTCCCAGAATTCCCCAGCCAGTAGGGCCATTGCAAAGCATTCTGGGAGTTGAAGTCCGCCCATCTCAAAGTTGCCAAGGTGCAAAAACCCTGCTCTAAGGGTTACTGGATAGCATCTCCCATGCTGGCTGAGGATAATGGGGAATGGAGTCCAAGGGCATCCTTAGTACAAAAGCAGTGTTACCGTTTCCACTGTGTTCCTCCCAGTGAGGATGCTAAAACCTGTCCTCGCCTGCATCATATGAGACTGGGAGACAGGCTGACATGATCAAATGTCCCCCCGTGTCAAAAATAGAAACACATCCCTAAAGATCCATAAACCTGGGACTGCCCTCCCACCAGAATGGAGGCAGTGCCAGATGGGAAAGAAACGGGCAGCTGGCGTGAGACCTTTAGCTGCCTCCTTCAGTGACCGAGCGAGGAGTCGGGCCGTTCTCCAGCCTGGCCTCCCTCCAAGGTCCTCGAGGCCGCAGAAGGACAGGCAGGCCGGGGAGGACAGGGCCAGAGAGCTTTCGGCCACCCTGCCCTGAGCAGCTGCTGAGGCCATCGTAGGCTGTGTTCCCAAAAAGGAGCCTCTGTGTCGTAACACCGCTGGGAGAAACCTCCAGGAGATAAGAGCTGCTGAACAGGAGAACGGGCCAGCTCAGGCCATGGACTCTGCCTAGCTCCAATGAAGGAGCTTCCTTTTTTTTTAGATTTTTTTCATCCCACCTTTCTTATTTTTATAACTCAAGGTGGCGAACATACCTAATCCTCCTCCTTCCTCCTATTTTCCCCACCACAACAACCCTGTGAGGTAGGCTGGGTGAGAAAGAGGGACTGGCCCAAGGTCACCCAGCTGGCTTTCGTGCCTAAGGCAGGACTAGAACTCACTGCCTGCTCCTTCTAGCCCGGAGCCTTCACCACTAGACCAAACTGGCTCTATTGAGCCATTGCTCCAGTTTTTAGGAAGTTTCCCTTCATGTTTAGGTGAAATCTGCTTCCCCACAATTCCCCCCCAATTGCCCCCTTTCATATACCCCCAAACAGCCACCGTGGGTCACCCTCTTCTCTCCTAAGGACCCCAAGCGATTCGGATCGCAGCTCAGTCCTCCAGATCCTTCTCCATCCAGAGCGCCCGTTTTGCTGGAAAACGCTTATTTATTTAACCCCTCTAAGCCACCCAAAAGGGAGAAAAGTCTGGAAACCCTCTTGTTTTTCCCAGCAAAGGCACTGTTCCAAAAGAGCACCCTGAAAAGGCTTTAAAAGCACCAAGAGGAAAACGTGGGAAAGAAGCAGGAAAGTTTTGAAAACACACCTGGAAGCCAAACGGCAGCGAAAGAAAACCAAGCAGCCTCCGGGATATGATACAATTCGTTTTTGAAAATTAAAAACCTCCCCAAACATATAGGCTTTAACTGGACACACATACCCCCAGTTTATCCCCAACGCCCCCCCATCCCAGTCCAGCCCCCTCTGAACACGCTCAGGAAGTTCACCTTTCTTCCCGCATCGGAGGCGGTAGATGGGCCCATAGCGCTGGGCCAACTGGAGGAAGTGGACGGGCAGGTCAGCGTGGAACAGGTGGTGCAGGTTGCCAACCAGGGGCAAGACCGGGGGGCCTGGGAGCTCCCACGGTTCCCTTCTCCAGCCCAGCCCCCCATGGCGCCGACTCAGGAGGGCTACAGCCAGCAAGAGGAAGACCAACAGCCCAGCCAAGAGCATTGCTAAATCAGCTGGGTGAGGCCCCTCCCGGGCCTATAAATGCAAGCATATTCAGAGTGGGGCTGGGGAGGAGGAGGAGGAGGAGGAGGAGGAGAGACCCTGCCCCTCTCCAAAGCAAGGGGGCCACCCACCAGCCTTCCCTATTCCACCTCCCCAAAGTTGCCAGTGCCTCCCCACCCCCATATCTCTCCAGGCAAAAATAGCTTTTTCCCCCTGACCGCAAGAATCGGTCACCCTGGAGGCCAGCGCGGGCCCCATCCTTGAGACGGTGACAGATTTATCTTTGGAGAGCGACGCTTTTCTCCTTGACTCCGTCCCGAGGAAAGAGAGCAATTTTTTCCGACCCTCCCAAGGACAAGATCCATGTCAGAAAGGTATATTGGGTGTTCTTTTTTCCTTTTTCCTTCTTTTTTGGGCTCCCCCCCTCCCCCAAATAAACATGGGCACTGAAAACAACGCTGTGCGAGGAACGTGTCTTCCTATTGCAAGGATAGAAATCCATTGTAAGACGTTCGTTGTTAAAATTCAACCAACGCATCGCTCTCCCTGGGGCATACTGGCTGGGGCAGCCGGCAGATGGTCGTGCAACACATCTGGAAAGCAGCAGGTTGCTTGCACCTGTTATAAAGGCTGCAAGTTGAGGCACAAGGCTGCCCCCCACCCACCCCCCGGTGCCTTCTGCAGCGAGGGAGCAGAAGCCTTGAACTGGAAGTCCTGCCCTTGGATGGAGTTTGTGGGATTGGAACGGCCGCTTGATTATCTTCTGATTCAATAACTAAATGAAATCTGATTTTATCTAGAATATAGTTGTACGTTTGTATTTGCATCTAATACAAAGACATGTGTATGGATTATGTGTATGTGTATATGGATTATTATGCATTTGTAAATATTGTATATACCCCTTTTTCAGGTTTGCCCTTTATTTTTTCCAAGAAAATAAATGGTCGCCAAAGGTATGAAGCAACTTTCAAAGTTTTGCATTTTGTATGCTTCCTCATATTACTGGGGTTTGTAGTCAGAACTCCCCTGCCTCTTTTTTGGAGTGACTCTTATAGGTACCTCAAAATTCAGCTGCCCCGTTTCTCATTTCACTTTTCCCTGCAAGTAGTAAAGTAGGTAGGCAGAGCTATGGGTGGAGAGCAAAAAAATCTGCTTTTCTGCTGATGGCGGTGTCAGAAAATAAGCTCACGAACATGCGTGCAACGTGCATGGAAACTGAGCGCCCCCATGCATGATCTTGCCACGTTAATAGAGGAGCGCTTAAGGAAATCCTGATGCACCAGATGTGCACAGATGTGCAAAGCAGTTTGTTTCTCAATCTCAAATGAAAGTCTTTTGAAAGCATCCAACGAAGCAGTGAGAAAACTTAAATTGAATCCGAGCATGTAACAAACCCCCCAAAAATAGGAGAAAACCCTATTTGCAACAGGGGGGCGGGAGTTGAACCATCAAGTTACAGCTAGCATTTCCAGGAATGGTGTGAGCAGGCCTCATTGGGAAAGGGAACAAGTGAAAACAAAAAAGATGTTAGAATGCAGGGAGGAAGCGTCAGGCACGAAGAATTGGGAACCATTTGAACGAACAAAGGGAAGGAGCTGAGAAAGATGTTGGACGCAAGCTTCAGGAAGATTGAGCGACAGCCGATGGTGCAAAACATGGGAAAAGAGAGAGATGGAAGATGCGGGTGGGCTTCTGGAGCGATGAGAAGATGGGGAGCTATTCCGGTTTGAGTGCGAGAGAAGTTGGATTTGCTTCTTCTGAAGAAAGAAAGTGGGAAGAAAAAGAAACAGGGTTGTGTATCCAGTGAGGAGGAAGTAGGAACATCCTTTCGGGAGGGAAGGAATTCTCTCTTCTAGAAGCCGTCCCCTAATAAGAACTCTTTCAGTTCTGTCTTGGACTTCTAGTAATTAAAATGAAACACCTCTGCAACAGCTGGCCTGTTAAATGTTGGAGATCTTTTATACCTGGGTGGAAAAATGATTCCCCAAGTCTTTACAATTCATGAGAGTCTTGTAAGGCCCCCTCTGCCCTGTCTTGAAGATGGAGCATTTGGAAGTCCTTGCTTCAGAAAGGCTGGTTTTTAAATATACCCATTTTTGAAGTGGTCGGGCAGAAAGAAGGAAAGAGGAAAAACACTTTTCCTTCTGGGTTGAGGGCAGGGAGGGAATAAAGGAGATTCTTTAGCATACAGACGTGGTGCAACAGACTCAATTTCAGCTGAGATGCAGGATTTCTCTGTGATTATCCTAAATAAAAGGTTTCCCGGGAGGCCAAATGGGGTGATCTAAGGAGCTTCGACTTTGGAAAACAGATTTTTTTTTCTCTATCTGGCTCCCAGACGCAGCCTAAAATTGCTTAGGTGGCAGCGAGGAGTGTTGGAAGTATTAAAACAGTGTTTCTCAACCTCGGCAACTTTAAGATGACTGGACTTCAACTCCCAGAATTCCCCAGCCAGCCATGCTGGCTGGGGA